ATACCAGCAAATTTAGCTAATATACATATGTCACCTACAAATACTACAAATGTTTATACATCTCCTTTAAGTGCCATGAGTGCTCGCAATATTTCTGCGCCTAATCTTCAAGGTGGAATGCAAAGAGTTTATTCTGTCTCTTCATATACTTATGAACGACGGCCCTCACATCAACATATTATTCCTCCCACTCTTCCTACTCGACCTCCAAAAGAGGCGATATCTTCGTCGTCTTCAACTTCACATATTGAAGAAGAAAGTAATGTTGATGAGAATGATACCAATAGTGAAATGATCAAACAATTTATAAATATGGGATTTTCAAAAGTTCAAGCTATTGACGCTTTAGAAAAACATGATTATGATCCTCATAAAGCAACAAATTATTTATTAGATTTACAATAACAATTTTACTAATTAAATTGAACTTTATATTATTTTCATTTGCATGATTCAAATTATAGTAACAGTATTTTTAATATAAATTTATAAATTACTGTATAGTAGATTGAGTTTGACTGAATATATATATACTTTAGTTTTATATGAACATTATATAAATTAGAGTTAGTGTTTATCTTAGACCGAAATATTTTCAAATTAATACCGGTAATAAATAATTTAGTTAAATTATTTTAATTCGATTATCAATTTACAGTCAATTATTTTTTTTTACCAAATTTTCGACACAATCGACTATAATGCTATATCTTCCGACTCGAAATGCCATAATTTTCATTAAATAACTATGAACCTGAAACCGAAGTATGAGTGTCATTAAAAGATAACATATTAATAGGTTTTATACGATATTGGGAATTCCGAATCGGAAGACATCTGAATTCTGGTTGGTTAAACCGGAATTAACTAAATTTTACTAATTAAGTTTGGACGCGGAAATTTTCAATTTCGTGATTATTTAAATTGAAACAATGAGATTAAATAGAATCTAACCCAATAAGATATAAAATATAGTGTGATTACTGAGATTAAAAGTGATGATTTGATCGGTA